CATAATATATTTGTATATGTACATGTCTTTATCTAGAGCTCTATAAATACCCTTTGCCTCCCAGCTCTTTCCTCTATTTCCGTTGATTCTCCTCCTGTCCCACTATCATGCTCAGTCCCCACACGAGGATGTTCTTATCTCGACATCTAGTCAACACTGTGCTGAAAGTCCAGCCAATACATAGGCAACAGCAAGACATCAAGGGTGTACGGTTGGGTAAAGATGAAGTGAAACATATGCTATTTGCAGATTATATGATTTTATGTATTGAGAATCCTAAGGGCTCCACAATAGGATTGCTGGAAACAACAGAGGAATTTAGTTGAGTAGCAGGATATAAGATTAACAAGCAGAAATCAATTGGATTCCTATATATCAGTGATGGGAATAGAAAAAAAGATATCAAGATATCAGTACCATTCACAATAGCTATGCAAAAGCAGAAATACCTAGGAATAAACCTAACAAAAAAACAAAAGACCTGTACAAAGAACACTACAGAATATTACTACAAGAAACCAAAAGGGATCTACACAGTTACATATTCTACTGTCACTTGAGTGAAGGGGTGGAGTCTGGCCTGTCAATTAGGTCACAGCCAATGAGGCCTCGGTGTGGGCATGGCCTTCTCCTGAGGATTCTGGGAACAACTGTTTTCCTCTCTGGAGGCGAGACACCATTTACACTGGTCATCTGGTTCACAGGGACTAGAGGTGAAGACAAGAGCAGGTTGACTGGTCTGAAGTTCATTACCTAGCACAAGGGGGCTGGGGTTGTTGAGAATTTGTGATGGGGCACATGGTCGAAAGGCAAGGCAGCCAATGGGCACTATGGGTGAGGCTAAAAGATGGCCCACATTGAGTTGACCACAACCGACCAGATGAAGAAAAGATTATTGAGCCTATAAACTGGTGTATATTGCTGCTGATTTTATGGATGGCCTGTCCTGATTTGATTTTGCTTATGGATGCAGACTCACAAGGTTCCAACTGGAATGAAGATTTTCACATTAAAGAATATAATTTTTCTCCTCAGAGCACTGGGTTGATCAGTAAGAGAGCAGTCTAAAAATTGGATACCCAAAATGGGGAGGATAAAGGTATGAAGTGACTGGCTTATAAACTTTCATAGGTAGTGGAATATATTCAAAGGATTATGATGTAGGTGTTCATTCAACTGCAATTGTTAGACATAGAATATTTTTGTTTTGTTCACTTATAGAATATTATGTTTAAATGAGGCTGATCCATATTGAATTATATGCATTTTAGTTTTATCCTGTTAGGTACAGGTATGATTTTATTATTGTTTTGTTTAAAAATTATATATGGCTAAAGAGTTGTATAAAAGTGTCAAATTGACAAGGGGTGGTCGATGGCAGTTACATAATCTACTGTCAACTTGAGTGAAGGGGTGGAGTCTAGCCTGTCAATCAGGTCATAGCCAATGAGACCTCTGTGTGGGCATGACCTTGTCAGGATCCCGGGAACTCCTGTCTTCCTCCCTGGAGGTGGGACACACTCTCTCTGCTTCATCTTTCTGTGAACAAGCCATATGGAGACACACTGATGGAGCCAGAGCCCTGGAGCTAGAGGAGCCACGTGGAGACCCACACCAGTGCTGAGATGCTTCCACTGCCAGTGGATCTACAAAACTTTCCACCCGCTGGCCTGTGATCTTCCTGCCTTTGGCATCATTGCATGGCTGTGTGAGTCTAAAGAGGAATTTATGGACTAGTATTGGACATATGAGCTAATATCGTACTTATGGACTTGATCTGGACTGGGCTGGGATGTTTTCTCAATATATAATTACCCTTTTATATAAAGCTCTTTATTATACATGTCTGAGTCTCCCTTAATTTGTTTCTCTAGTCAACCCAGATTAACACATACACAAATGGAAGCATATTCTGTGTTTGTGGGTTGGACAACTTAATATTATGATAATGTCAATACTACCTAAAGCAATCTCAATGCAAGCCCAATTCAAATTCCAGCATCATTCTTTTAAAAAATTGAATGGAAAAACGTATTACCAACTTTATATGGAAAAGGAAGAAGGCCAGGCT